ATGCGCCCGCTGTTCACTGCTTTGGAGTAGCTGTGGCTCAAGCTGACTTGACTCTAAGAGTTCTACATCACACGACGGTTGATTGACGAATGGTCCAGTGGGACCTAAGGCTCCTTTTATAGCGCGCCTTCGTGTTAAAGATGAGGGCCGGTTACTTAAACTTTTTTTCTTAAGACATCGTTATAGAACTCAATTTACCTAAGATTTCTGTAAATTGGGTCTTTTGAAGTAGATAAATGATTTTTAAGAGTTAGCTACATACCTCCATAACACTTTTCACAAAAAAATCAAAGTTTGGATAAAATGTTAGGCTAAATCGTTACGTTGGCACCAGCGTTGGGCAAAAGAAGTGGTTCTCATTTCAGAGCCACACCGTGGTTTTACACGCATAACATCCAAATTTAATATGTAAGGTATCTCTTAATTTCCCCAATTCCCCTCCTTGATAGATATTAGATGTGTTGAACACCTTTGGAAATAAGGAAGGAAAACTTCTGTGCCTTTTAAACTATGTAATTCTAAATAGAATTAAGGTGGTACTTAGTACCACCTTGATTCTATGTCAATTCCCACTGCACCTGAAGAAGGCTGGTTTGGTAAGCCGAAATATAGTGCTCCGTTTTAAAACTTATCTACGTTGTATCGGTTTGCCTCTATATTTTTAAAAACAAATCACAGATTGGTCACTAGCGTTATCCCGCCCCTCGATCTGGAAGTATGTCAACAAGCAATGTCTTCTGATTGGCTCCTTGTGACATTTCCGACAAATTAAGCGTTTGCCGGGTCCCTAAGAGTGACCAGCAACTAATTTCTCCTCAACAATTTCACTCCTGAATCAAACACAAGGTCTCGAGAATAAAGGAGGTGATCACCAACTAAAGAAGCTCTTGATTGTTAAACAAATTCTCCTTGACAGCACCTTAGGAAATGTAGAGAGAACAGTATGGAGAATATATACACTGGTGTTAATATTCAAATGGTTAACGCCGGTGATAAAAGGGTCACCTTGAGAAAATATCACAGCAGATAGCTTCTCATAACTTCAAACAATTTTCCCAAAGAGATGTGGATGGACACATTTACCAGCTTAAGAGTTAAACTGATTTAAATCCAACCTCTCCAAGCAAATTCATATGAAAGTGTAAAACGATTATCTGGGAGAGTTAGGAATGAGATCTCGGGAGTTAAAGAAACTGGGGTTACTCACCAGGAGAGGGGAGCAACATATTTAACCCCCTAACTCTCAGAAGTGATTAACCTGTAACTTCTCCCCATAATATCCATACATGATCCAACAAACAGGTAATGAGAATACTCAAACTTATCAGGTAGAAGTTGATATCTTGTTCTAACGGACCAAATTCTCGTAACTAATTCCCAAGGATTCGCTCTGACGACGGGCTAACGCTCGAAACTTCAGCTTTAACTCTTTACGGTGGCCAATTTACCTTGTTACCCCCACCGACACAGCACCACAGTTTCTTTAGAAACTTGCCCCCCTTAAGTCAAAAGGAAATGTGCGGCAGCTAGGGGGGACAATTAACAATCACATGTTTGGAGTTAAAGGGTTAAGGTCGGAAGGTGAGAGGCAACGGTGACAAGAAGCAAAGGCACAGCGTAAGGCGATTGCCCGGCGGCAAGAGGAGAAAACGCCGCTAATTCCCATAATCTGCCGGCATTCAAGGAACTAACTCTTAGAAGGGAGAGGAAAGAACGGTGTAATGGAAATAACGTTAACTAGAGAAACTAAAGGTACGAAATAATCAGAAAGAAAATTTATTGGGGCGTGAAAATGTCGTGTTGATCAGCATCTTTCTCCTTCATGTACAAACCTCCTTCATCACGAAGGAAGCAATAGTTTTACTTCAATGATATGGTTAAAAAGGAAATCAAAACAGAGCTTTAGATAGACATACAAGGTTACAAATTCCTTATTAGAGCTCAAGTATTAATTACATCGAATTGGCCAACTTAAGGAGTTTCAAAGCTGACGTTTCGAGCGTTTACCCTTTGTGACTCGCTCTGTTGTTAAAACCAAAATTACCTTGTTACCCCCACCGACGCAGCACCACAGTTTCTTTGGAAACTTACCTCTGTTAACTACACGATTACTCTACATACGTATCTATTTGATTTAAGTAATACTTGAAATGCCCCTAGATTTCTCCGCGTACAAAAAGATACGTAACTTGAATGAGCAGAATAGTTTCTTTTATTGATAGTTATAATATTTTACGCTATATACATTTTAAGCCAAGTAAATCTTTACTCCAACAACTCGAATAGCACACTTAGTCAAGTGGTCGTGTCTTCGTTCCCCTTCTTTGCAGTCTTTCTGACAAACATAACCTTGCTTACAAGACAATGCAGACACTGAATGCTTTTGGTCAGGGCGTACCGTTTGAATGAGAGGTTTGCCAAAAACTCTGTGAATAATTAGTATAATTTCAGAGCTAAGAAAATAGTTTCCAGCAATCTGACTGGTCGAGCGGTTCCTTATATGACGCTATATAAACCGCTCCACGCGGTTTATATAAAATGTTAAAATAAAATGTCAAAATAAAATATTAATAAATGTCACTAAAATGTTATGATTTTAGAAATTTCTCTGTTGTTCAGCTCTGAAATTATACTATAACAGTTATTTGCCTCAGGTTCGTTGAATATTGTCGAATAATCTCCTTGACTTCGTCTCGGGGATTATTCCACGATATTCACCTTGCGAAAAAAAATATACGAAATTAACTGAATAAAATCTTGAATCGACCAGCGACAGCAATTTTACAAGCATGAATTTCTTTACTTCGTTATGTTAACTTTTTTATTCGCCCACTGAAATCTCCGTTGCCCCGTCCACGACGCCTCGACTGCCTTTTATCTATTACGATTTACCTAAGTCCCTATCTACTGACATAAAGTAATATCTGTGGAACCTTTTTAAATCCCAGGCGAGATTAGCGAGTAATTTCCCCTTTCAACTTCGATACACTATCCAGCAAAACGATGATAAGAATACAAATAAAGGATTGTCCTCTTGAAGCCGTGACAAATTATCTCAAGGAAATCAAAATAAAATGAATAGATATTACAAGAGAGTTACTTATCAGATCTCGAGATTTAAAAGCTTCACGTTTGCCCTGAGATGAACATGTTAATGACGAAACCGCAGTTTAATTAATCTCGTAGTGGTTATTAGTAGTCGGAAAGTCTTCGCATCCGTTCGTAGGCTGACGGATCTCCTTCACACATTGTTACAATCACCTCTTTGACTTGTAAAACTGCACGCTAAAGCCATTGCTCAAAAATAGTTATGTTTTATCGCGTTGTAATTATTCTAGCGCTAAAATTACCTTTACATACTCCATATACACTTAGAAAACTCACTTAACAAGCAAACTAATACTGGCATCAGCACAGTCATCAGAGAGGAACAAATCTGTTCGTAAAATTTAGCTCTTTATCCGGGTGTTTTTCGGAAATGCAACTGAAATAAAACCGGCCAGAAATTTTCAGTTTACAAGATTATCGAAATGAGTATCATTCCGAGATGATTATGCAATTTCCTCTTTCACCAAGCCAATTTCCTTTCAATTTTTTTAAATTATCCTTCATAATATTTCTTAAGTAGTACTATCGAGTTTCGTTGGGATGTGGCACATTAGGTGTACCTAAGCAAATTAGATTTTTACAAGTGCAAAACTTTTAATACGGTTAAGTGTCTCTGACGCAATCACATAGTTTTAAAGTTCACCGTATACTAATATCCGAAAATTGACAAGGGATATTGATAAAAAACAACTTTGATTCAAGTGCTTATTTACCTATAGAGCTTTTAATTTTATCTTACCTACCAAAATGCAATTATTTCATACCATTTAACGTGCGCATGCCGGGCTGAGGCAAGTCTGTTCTGCAGCACCCCTCCCCCCGTGAGTCAAATTCGCCGTCTCCACGGTAACGGCAGCAATTTTTGTTATAAATATAAGAAGAACAAGTGGTAGGAATTCGATATACAGATTTATGGTTTAGGTGTCTTTTTATAACGCTCTCTGGAAAAATTAATTCGATTTTGTGAGCGGTACGTTCACCGGACCCAACGTCGCTCTTTCACTTATGGTATCAAAACAGTGCACGCGAAATACGTGCTGTGTAGGTCAGAGATTATAGATGGACCCTAGTGTACCACCAAGTCAGCTTTACATATATTTATATCGACAAGTACACAAAAAATAACTTAAGAATTGCAAACTTCCGGGTGAGTATACATCTGAAGAACAAAAGAGACTTCCAGTGGTAATATTTCTAAATAAACATCTCTCGAGGTTCCAAATGCGATAATGCAATCTTTAAAGTAACGATGGTCACCTTATCATATACAGAGAATCTTCTGCGAGCAATTTTGTCTGTGTTTACGTCGTTCTGTGTTCCATTCCGGGCGTCCTGTCCGCCGATCCATGTAAGTCCATTGTCGATGTAAGGTCCGAACTTGCGGTGCTGCTCCCTAGTCCAAGCAGGTTGTTTGAAGACACCGAGGCAGGGTAACCGAAATTTTGCTGGTTTACGGTGCATGGTGGGTAAGACTGCCCCACTTGACACGATGGGTAAGCAGCAACTTGTGGCACGCTGTAGGACGGGTACATATGACCATGTACGTGCTGTGAAAGGAAACTGGAGGGCATTCCGCTCATTGAATACGGAGGTCTGGGGTATGGGCTGTATCGCATGTCCATATGCATCGATCGCGTGCTCTGTAGCTTCAGATGGGACGAAGCCGAGCAAGATACAGTGTCGTTTGAATTCGTCGGCAAAATCACAGGTTTGGTGTCTTCAGAGATGTGCAGACTGGATGACCGGGAAAAGTCGCTGTACTGTTGACTTTGCGTTAGGATCTCCGGCGCAGGTAGTGCCTTTGGTATCGGAGAGGGAGAATGGGTCAGAGTGTTAGAGCAGGTACGACCCTTGTCGACTTGAATGACAGGTTTTATGTCCTCAGTGGATGATGGGATACCTGACAAGGCGGTTTCGTCCACCGGTGAACCTAGGAAAGAGGCAGACCATCCGTTAAAGAGCTGCTCAGGAATATTTTTAGCCTGTAAAGAGGTTTGTTACGCACCGCAAAAAACAATCTGTGCTCTGCAAATTTAAATCAACTTTGAACGTTACTTTTGTCCGAAGAATTTTGTATTAATTTACTGAGGAAAAATAACTTGGACTTGGCCTTTCTTGATTGTATCAGATTACGTCGCTATCTCGTTTCCCGCTGTCAAGAATCAGTGTTAAGTGAGCACGAAAGCTTCTTTGCTTCAGAGAATTTTTGACAAAAAAGCCTCAACAACAGGTTATAGGGAGAGAAACTCAACAGATCATATAAAAAATTCCGCGTCAGTATTTATGCTGGTATAAGTGCAAAAGACACAGGGAACTAAAATGGTTTTATGAATTGGCACAACTCGCGATGATATTGATGTTACTCCGTAACTGTTTTTTAAAGAAGTACAGGCATATTAGTTAGTTTCTTGGTCAGTTCATTTTCATCTTCTCGTTATCGAAAAATTGGCCGTCTATTTCTTTGGTCGATCTCCCGCTTGAACTCGGCAAACTAAAAATAACGTCATTAATGATACGTTGGACTTTGGTCCTCCCTAAGAAATTCGCCTCTTGGGGCTTGTATCGAGTTGACGGTTTTCGTTACAGAAACGACGGTTACTTTACAAAGTAAAAAAATCCTGTCTTTTATCTACATTGGAAAAAAAATCGGTGAATAAACATAAAATCCATTATTTTAATAAGACAGGGTGGTAGCTTGTAGTTCTCCTATTCTTTTGTCATGAGTTCTTTAGAGCTGCCCACTGTTTAAACACGTGCACAATTTAGACAAAATAAAAAAAGAAAGGGAAAACAGAGGTTTTTGACTCGTTGAGCGACGCGACCTTTGCCTGTGATCTTAAAGAAGAGCAGATATTCTTTTATCTGAGACAAAATCCTATTCTAAAGCTTTAGTAACTTCTTTGAAACACACTGTAAAGGTGAAAGAGTCATGTGTACTTGCTACCTATTCAAAGCACATTATAAACACAACAAACTATGGGTTTTAAATTCTTATAAACACAACAAACTAGGGTTTTAAATTCTTATTGAACAGCCACCTTTCCCACTTAACCCATGCTGGTAAATACTGTTAGACAAAAATTATTTTATGGAGACGCTAAATATCTATTGTTATAAGGAATAACGCGCTGGCTGGACAGCATAAATCGAATATTCTGTTCAAATAAAACCAGATCACAAAGGTGAGGCGCGGATAGAACCAATTGAAACATCCCATCACAGCCCCATCAACGAGTTGGTAGGCGGACTTAAAATTTCCGAGAGGATTTGAACAAGGCGATGGTGTAAAAATTTCATTTGCAGTCAATACACTGCGATATTTCAGCTATTTTCAACTTCATCCTTCTAATTGTACTATGCAGCTGAAACATTAATTATGTCCAAAGCTTCTCTTTTCCGGTAAGCTTTGTTTACTCGCTTTCCAGTTCGCAGTGATTTCGTCAAGTTTTTAAAAGAAAACAATAAAGATATCCACGACGAAAAAAATTATATAAATGATAATATTTCAGAGCTCAAAACGGCCGATAAAGATCTTTTGGCCGGTTTATGACTAAGCGAAAGCATCGCAAAAAAAATTACAATGAATTGAAACTTTGACCGAAATCGAAAGTTTTAATGCTTAAGCGATCTATACTAGAGAGACAAAGTTTCATTCCACGTGCTATAGTTTGCTATCCAAACAAGTCAAGATCTCTTCAACTAAAATTGCTCCTTAATATACTGAAGGAGAGAGGATTTCTTTCATCTTCAATGGCTCCATTGTGTTTTACATCTGAGTAGCAGAATAATAAAAATTCCCCACAAATCCTCAAAACGACCTAGCAACAAATAACTTTGAAAAGGATTGGAGAAAGCCAAACACAACGAAGAGACTATTCTTAGTTGGGAGATTTGAATAATTAAAGATTTTACACATTTAAATGAAACCGCAGATTCGCTTGTGACTAAATATCTTATGCAAAGAAGCAAAAGACGAGTTCAGCGTTCAATGAAAAGCCCGAGGAGAAACAAGTATTGTCCACTAAAATGAAAGAAAATCCTCTTGAACCTGAAACGATCATGAGAACATAGACAAATTTACTTCAGTTAAGTCAACTCAACACGTTACCGTCCACCGAAAAAAAACCACAAATAAGAGTTTCTTTGAACGTAAACGAGTCCTTGAGCAAATTTTATCTTGCACATCAATGACTTTTTTAGGTAATGATTAGAAAATATACACACGAGCGTGATAATTTTGCCGTTAGTTTCTACGACGGCTTTGGGACTAACCAGCGTTTGGAAAACCATCAAAACATATCAGTGCATTTATATACCCCTGATCTGTAATCGCAATGAAAATAAGGAAATGAGATAGGCATCCAGACCAAATAATAGAAAATTAAGTTTTTCCTTCAGCTTTTATTTTCAAGGCTGTTTTGTGCGCACGAAATATTCCTTCAACGTGGATGGAAGAATTGACTACGATGCCTCGCATTCACTTTGCTGCATCAAAAGAGATAGTACTTTGGCGACGAAAACAAGTTGAATAATTTATTACACGGCGTTACTGAGAGACGGAGCGCGAATTGACAGCTTTTCAGACAAGAAAGCTAAAAACATACTTCCTGGGAGGACGGTTTCCTGGTTACCTGATGTTAGAGGCGATGGTTGAGATATGAATTACAAACAGCGTCCATCTCATTGTGTCGCAAATCGACCCATTGCATCCAGAAAGCTGGCAATATTTGATTCACTTTTGTAAAGAAGTTTCAGTTTTTTCTAACTGTTTCCTTTTTTTTTTTTTTTTTTTGGAAAATGAGCGTGCGATCATGATCTAACATTTTCATAAGCCCTCTCCATTATTGACTATCAAGAAAATTAACGCTCGATTCAAGAACATTTACGAAAAAAGGAAAGCCATTGAGTTTTGATGCTTAAACTTGAGTTGAAATTACGCATAGAATAAATAAACTTCTCTTAAAAATCAAGTCTCCTAGCGACAGAGCTAAGTAGTTTGTTACAACAGTTATACTTTTTATATGCACCTGCGAGTAGGACAGATTTAGAATTTATTTAAAGGGGGCGGATTGGTGTTTTTCATTACGAGCGACAACACTTCTATTGTTTCTTTTCGAAAGCTTTAGAAAACACTTTTAATGGGTGGAACTTTTTATTCAGGTAAAAGGTTGTATAAAAAATATGGTGTAATTTAGTTTAGCATTCAATACGAGAAAGCCGAACACCTTGATCTCGAGTGTGGTTTCATTAAAGACAATCAGTTTTTCGCCCTTATTACATAAACACATCCAGACGGAAACTCTAGAAACCATCATAGATTTCGCACGTTTGTTCTTCATCAAGACTTTCTCGCAAAATCGTCATATTTCATCGCATATTCGCTCAACACTACTGACAGAAGAATGAAAGCCACTCAAAGATTTTTGGTGTCTTTGACAGTAACATCTAATTTGTGCAAAGAGAAAAACTTCTGTTTCTAATGAGCTAATGACCAGTAACACTGAACCTGCATGCGAAACAGGTTCGTTTAGGTAACAATAGAAGAGTATTTTCATGTATAGGGTCTAAAAGTTTTCGTTTACTGGTAGCTAAATCTGTCGTAATATTTCCTAAATGGCTCCAAAAAAATTCACACTCTTCCACCTATGCTGACTTTCGCTTCGCGCTCAGGTAAGTTGGAGGACGTGCGGGAAGACCCGGTTAGCAACTGGAAATGTACCCTCCAGCTTTTAACAAAAGATGAAATTATCACCCACTTTTACCTAGCTTAACTTAATAACTTCAGGTCTACCAGCACGAAATCAAAACAACAAGAGTTTGAAATGAACTATTCATTCTTGCTTGTTCATCGTTACCCTTAGGCACCTCTACGATTCATAATCAAAGCTGATTGTTTCAAGAGCCGTCGAGCATTTGCACCTCGAGTGAGCAGTCTAAAGAAGAACAGAATTAAAACCTTCCAATGTTTGACACTTTGGGAGGCAAACACTGACACCAAACTTCATACACAAATAGAAATACGGAAATGAATATTCTCTGATGGTAAAGAAAAGCAAAATGATAAAATTTTCAATCACACTGAATGAAGACACGCCCAACTCTTCCCCGGAGATACGTTTCCTTGGCTGTGATTATTGTATCTTTCGTCAAATCTCTGGCTTCGAGAGCCTTACAATTATATTCGTAACATGAAAAGCTAGGTAAACACTCACACCAAATTCAGAGTTACCTAGAAACAAAACGCCTGTAGTCCTGTGTAACTTTAACATGTCGCACGTTGAGTGCTGAACTCAGTGAAATATTTACGGCCTTGGCGAAAATTATATTAAAAGGCTCGCGAAATTGAATCGCCGAGAATGTGTTGACGTTTCTACGCTATGTCACTTTGAGCGCTTTTCTTTCGCAGTTGGCGGCATAACGTTGATTTACTACGATTAAACGACAGGCCAAAGCTAATCGAAAGAGGCATCTTAATTTGGATCCTTTCACATAATGTTTAAATCACTGCTTTAAAAAACTACACTGTTTTGGAAGCGTTTCTCCAGCTTGAAGAGCAACAAGCGTAGTTTACCTCTTTCTTGTTGGCATACTACACCGATCAGCTGATATAACTAGTTTATAAAATCGTAGATAGAAAGCACAGTATTGAGAGACAAAAAACGTTAGATACCCTTGATTTTCTTTCAGCAAAAACTAAGTGGAAGCTTCTAATTATGATGGAAAGGAGTTTACAATTGGGACGTGAATCAATGAGAGGGCTATCGTGCGCTTTCACTGAACAAACCCAAAAGAAAAACAGGTTTATTCGGAAAGGACCAACAAAAAGGAATAAGAATTAAATCAATTGCTCATAAATCAGCCGTATTTCTTATCCAAACAGCACAAAAGCGTTTTCCCAGATGAATAAACGAAGGAGGAATTTTAAAATAGAATAAACTCCTTTAGGAGTTTATTTTGGCAGCAGCTGTGGCAATTCTCTTGAGATTAATCCAAATCTTTCTTTAGCTCGTTTTATCTTTGCTCGGATTGAATAAAGACGATCTTTGACTCCGATACTCGAACTATCAATGTAAATCCCGACTCCTAACCATAGATCTAGTTGCACATAGCACTGTCATTAAGAGTGAACTTTTTGGATGATACTAAGTCCGGATGTAAAATAATTTCGAAACAAACTTGGCAATAAAACCATTAGTCCTTTAATGCCCGGAATTCTTTAACCAAAAGTAAAATTCTAAGAGTCTAACTTAACTGGGCACGTCAATTATAAGTTCTTGAATGGCGCAGACGTTGTCCCATTGCGGTAAGCGGCACATTTCTTTTGAGCGAACTCGCTATTCAAAGAAGGCGGTGTCGTAAAACGAATTAAACTCACCGGTGGGAATTTCGTTGGAAGAACCATGAACGCCGGGTTCTTTGCCATCTTCGTCCTCGTCACTGTTATTTACATCGTCTTCTTCATTTAGGGAATGTTCTGGGTTGCTGCGTTGCCTTCAAAATGAATGTAGAGGTGATAAGGCAAGTGTGAATGTCGCGCATGTAGGATATTCATTGTGGCTTGTTCACGGCTTTGTGTGTCAAAACAGTTGTTTTCTCCTGTTTCTTTGTACCAAAAATTTGAGGCCTTCGCCTTGGGTATTAACTACTCGTACCCAAGGGGTCAGTGTTTAAGTGAAACAGATTAACATGGCCCTAGGACCATGGTGAAAATGAAATTCAAATAGATCGGTGTCACAGAATAGGGTACAGTGTGTTCTACCTTCGCTCCAAACGCCTTCGATGACCTGCTCCGTGTTCTCGAAAACCTTTCGCAAAAGGGTTGTTGTCGATTTTCAACTTGGTTATCTATTGAGAAAAAAAACAGATGTCACAGTCGTGAGTTTTGTAGAATAACTTCTTTCAAAAATTTCTTTTTTCCCTGAGCTGTGCTATCAAAAGACCAGGGATAATTTAATAATTTAACGACCAGGTCCAGGTTAAAAGGACGTTTGTCACTCAGAGCATCAGTACTAAAGGAAGGATGAACATTATAATTCCTTGATACGATTTTATTGCGGATATTTCAAAACACGACAACCGTACACATTCACAAACAAGCATGAAGCATCAAAACTGAAACACCTCGGCAAATGCTAAAAAGTTTCTCATCTTACTTTCAAATGCAATCGATTTATTTTAAAGAGGAGCGCAGGTTGGATTTACTAGAATATTTAACGTCAGAGAATAATATTACTGAAAATTTTACCTCTCCAAGACATTACAAAAGAAAAAAATCGGAGAACAACAAGGGGAGATAAATTTAAGCTCTTTTAATCTAGCAATTTTTATTTAAAGCTTATTCAAAAGACACGCCAACCTTGCCATAGCGCTAGCCTATAGTGGATATTGCCATTGGATGGATCGCTTCAAGAAGGAATAAAATCGAAGTGCAAAATAAATAAAGTTCTTAACTTTTAACGAATTTTAAAATACACTCAAATCTTTGTTAGAGGCACCCTCTTATAACTGTATCTTTATGAACTTATTCCTTTTTGTCTGAGTGAAAATAAACTTGATATAGAAAGATCGGCCATTCTTCCAGTGAACCGATAACGATTCGACAACAAAGATCAAACAGTTCCGTGAATGAAAACGCAAATACTCAAAACTCCCTCTTAAGCTAAATCAAATTTCACTGACACAAAACCACTTGAAAAAGGGACAGGAATTTAAATTCAAGTCAAGCGGGGAAAGCAATCAGCGACTGTGCGCTGGACTGACACAAACCTTCTCATTTTGATAAGCTGTAACTCCAATAAACGCCGTCTCAGGAAATGAAAAAGTCTTAAAATTGCTGTAGGGATGTTTATAAGTATCATCCGCTCTTACGACATGAATTCTTGGTTGGTATTTATGCATCGAGTTCAAGATTGTCTGTGGGACAGAAAAGCGAGTAAACAGTAAGCACCTAAAGAAATAAATCGGCCATCAACCACAATCAACAAACAAAAATAATTACAGATGTGACGGCAATGTATGAAAAAACGAATAAAGAGGCTTGATTTCAAAGGCATGAAAGGAACTTACATAGCCGTATTTGTCTGCGATGTTGTTTGTTAGTTTCATCTTGTGAAACGAAATGGTTTTCTGCATCCACTGCGCTCCAGTGCTTGGTGAATCCGGATGCATGTAGAGAGGTTTAGGCATCTCAGGGTCGGCTTTCCCAGCCACCATCCAGCGACAATTGTGGAACTTGTATCGGCAGTCGTCAGCGGGGACAATGTCCATGAGAAAGAAATATTTTGCCCGAGGGTCCAAACCAGTCACGCGCACTTTCACTGGCGGAAACATACGCCTGTTGACAGAAGACAAAAATATTAGGACACGAACGTATGAAATTTACATGGGCGATGAAATCGGCGACGGTTCTTGGCCGGTTTAAAAGTGTTACACCTCAAGGACTGAAATGTGTTCAACGGGATTGTTTAGCTTTTTCGCAGACAAAATTCTCTGTTTAATTTGGAACCAATTTGGTATTTACAACGCATCGAGACCTCCAGGCGTTTTAATCGACACAATCCCTGGCTGCGAAATTCCAAGGTTACATAAACCGGACATTTGCTGGCCAAAAGAGAAAGAGTTGTACCTTCCTGCTTTGGTAATAACCATTTCTGTTTTCTCCTCGTAAAAGCTCTGCCATAGATCCTTATTTTCTAAATTGACATCGATACTCTCGTGTTCCGAATCGTGAACTGGCATGTGAACTTGTTGCGGAGGACCAGGAATAGCACTTGGGCCGAAGTGAGAAGGTTGTTTTGCTATTTGCGGTGGATGGTACGGAGAATACGAGAACGGGCCGTTCGAGTTTAAATTGTTCGAAATCGATGAGCTACTTCCTGGCACGCCAGGGATGAATTGTGAGCAGCCTTCAAGCAGAGAACTGACGCGAAAGTCTCTCATCCTCGCTGGGTAGAACGGGTAGTATGCCATACTCTCTCTTTACCTCTTACTACTCTGCTCTCGTAATTGTTGATGATGGTTTATTCCAGCTGCGTCGGAACAAGGTAAGATGTCATAAGAACTAATGAACCCCGCCACCTGATTGGTTGAGCGTTTCTGAACGACCAATCAGAAGCGGCGAGATTAATGCTTGACATGTGTAATTGACATGCAATCCATTGAGGAGGTGATAGTTTTGTGTTCTTTTCTGAAAGAATTAGCACCTTTTTCATGTTCCTTGTCACATATTCTAATGTCAGCGAGTAGATTTCATCGCCTAACCGATCGCCAGCTATTTCACAATGTTTTTATTATAGAAACGTTTCTACCTGTTTCTGAAAAGCGTGCACATTAATGTCGCCAACACCAAATAGTTTCTAAATATCGTGTCCAGGAAAAGAATTCCTGGAATGCGATGAAAAACAGCGGGCATACATTCCAGATTTATTCTTAAACCTCCACTAGAACCTGGGTGTGTGCTTTGCGAATAAATTCGCGCTGGTATATTGAAATCTGGCTTCCGGTGGATCAAAATAATCCTGATAAGATAGCTTTGAAAATTGTCACCAAAGCCGACAGGTTGGCACCATTTCTGTTTCCAAAATCGCACACAGTTTAATAAAATCGACGCAAAGAAAGGTCGAAAACTAAAACCTATGAATGACTGTCAGACTGAAAAGTTACTAAGCAGAAATCTACAATTCCCAAGATAAAAAAACTTAAAGACTTTCCAAGAGAATCGTGTAACTGGTCACGGATGAATACCTGGTCAATTTCAGCAGGTTATGTGCTGTTTGGGCGGGTTTACTGAATCATAAAGCGCTCTTGGTTGTTCTTCGCGATTCGCTTGGCTCGTAAAAGTCTTGTAATTACTGTCTTTGTTCGTAGCGTGTCTTTTTCACGCGAATTGCATCAATCGTAATGTGTCTTAGCACTACAGCCTACTCCAGTGTGTTAAAGAACGCGAAAATTCTCTAAACAGTCAAACAATTTCAAACGGATAATTGGTAGCTCTTTGTCCTCGATCTCTCTTTAGCTGTTCGCCTTGTGGGACTTGATTAAGTCTTTCTGCCTTTGTTCATCAAAAAGCTCGACGTTATTGAAGTGTATTGACTCATCTAATTAGCACATGGCGCGAGCAAGATCTGAATATGGCCAGCTATTATCAATGAAAAAACTATTATTTAAGTCCGAAAGATCCAAGTCTTTAATATCCCTTAAGAAGTCGGATTTTTTCGCTTTCAATGAATTTCCCATTGCAGAAGTATTTGTTAAAACAAGTCAGCCAAAACAGAAGTGAACTCTGTCGAACCCTCTTGAAATTATTACTGTGGGGATGAAATGTTTAAATTTTTACGAATAACGACAAAACAGCTGTGAATAAAAAAATCACCGTAGCCACAAAAATTCCAGATATTACCCGACCAAGACGAATAATAATGGCTATATTCCAGTTATTTTTATTTAGAAAAAAAACCTGTTTATGTTTTGAGGTTTCTTCACTTAACTTGTGAAAATAGAAGCTTCCGATTCTTTTGAGTGAAATGCAAACATGGAACAAATATTTTCGCTTTGCAAAATTTTATCTCTGTGACACGTCCATTAACCTAACGCTGAAATTTTACGCGTATAAGATTTGTTCTATGCGAAAAAAAACTTACTACTCCGCGCGCTTTGATACCCTCCTGAACTTGTTTATCATCTCAAAGAATGGAAATGAAAATAACACCTCGGTAGCTCTCAGAGACATATCAACCACGACCACGTCCTTAGAGAGAATGAGTAGGTTTCGTACGTGGAATTAATTATAATAACAAAACAAAGCCGCGAAAAGTTTCTCTTCTGCGTTTGCAAGACTACAGTCTAGGATCCGGTGCAATGCTTCCAGTTCTAAACGGTCGAGGAAATTGAAAAATGTCTGAAAAGAGTCCCGCCTTTGGCAGCCACGGGTTTTGCAAGCGTTTGTCAGCAAACGGATGTGAATTATTCCTGGTATTATGCCAACGCAAAAGCGCCAGACCACAAAAGCTTGCTCTCGCTTCCATAGTGAATTAGTAACTGGAACTAAAGCGATAATCCGTTCAAACTCCTGGCAGGTGAAACCCAATGATCAAATATGAATGAGCTTCTTTCACAAGAGCTCTTAAAAAAAAAAAAAGTCTTAATGCTCTTAAAATTCCTGCGATTTCACTTTGTTGTCACTTACATTTGTACCGCGAAAAACACTTCAGAATGTTACTTAGCTATGTTCACTTTTCCAGATTTAATATTTTAACCATTCTTGCCGTAAATTAAACTTTTTCCATCTATTCATCTGCAGTACAAGCACAACTGATGAAGGTGTCTGTGATTTTCGCACCACACAATGCTTTTTCCATTCATCCCAAATGTACTCTGACACGGTCAAGTAAACACTAAAAAAATTAATTTACCGAGCTTTAAACATTGAAAATTTAAATCTGGAGAATGCTGAATGTCTCTAACAAATTAGAGGCGATATGTAAAAACTGTCGGCTGTTTCTTTCAACCACTTACGACCCAGCCCCTCGGAGCACATCTTGCACTAATTGGGTTCTATCCAATTTGACTCGCTGGTAAAAAAAAATTTTTAGGAAAATAGGAGATTGATGAAAATTTTGTGGACATCTTCCAACACGTGTATCATGGTGTTTGTACTGAAGATTAAACAGTTTTAATCAGTTAGTTTCAATTCATTGCACGTGCTCAGTGATATGGCAGCGTGTGGGCGGTTATAAATGTAACATGAAGTTTGAGGTACTCATAAGTTGCTAATTGGGAATAATATTTTCCTGTCACTCCTGTTCTCTCAAAACTAAACTTCCGATTAGTTTGAGACAATCCAGGTGTTTTAAAAAATATTTTGATTTAATACAGCAAAATTGACTATAGTCCAGCCGGACGCCAATTTCTTTTGGTAGATAAGGATGATGATGATGAGATATTTATGATTTGCTTGGTGTACAATTGGTTTCCAAATCATTCTGAATGTTTGGTATCAATGCCAACCTCAAATGACAATGAGTCATTCGGACGTGCCAAAATTTATAAAAAAAAAAAATTAAATTTTTATCTATACTGCTAGCAAGGTCTTATTTCCGCTCTACAGGTGTGAAAATTAAAACCTTTTCATCTACCTGTTTGACTTGTCGACCACATTTACAGTATCTAGAACTCGTTATCCTTCCAGAAGACTCCTCGATGATACGTTGATACAAGTGGCTTCAGAAATAGATTTCCTCATTGGGTTTAGCCACCGATACTAAAACCTGGTGCTAAGCAGAATGAATTTGTTCAAATCGCGTTATTCCATGATGTTGAGCTTGTTTAGTACTTAAGTTTTTCACTTGCTCGCTAAATCATAAAATCTTGATACGAAGCTAGAGAACCTAATGTAAATCAAAAACCGAATTCCGCCGTGCAACTTTCCATTAATGCTTTTGTTATTAAAAACCACTTTTTAGTCCACAAGTTGCTGCGAAAGGTCAGTCATCTTTTTCCGAACTCAGCTGATCAATCTGGCCACGTCGTTATGCCGAGTAACGATAATATTTCCTTGTTATCCTGGTCGCCTTAGTAACCTGGTTCCACACCTCCTATTACCTTTTCTCTGCATTAAATGTTCTGAGTCAGAGCATGCTCAATTGGCTATTTTACTTATTTTACTCCCTGTTTTTTTTTTTTTTTTTTCCTTCCGGCACAATTGCCATCTACCCAAAGTCAGATTTCTGCCTAAATGTCGAACTCCTCAGTTCAGGGGGCGTGCCTCAACCGTGTCCTTATTTGGTATATTAGGGACTTTAAGTAACCACGACGGCGACGCCAAGGAAGACTTCAATTAAAAAATGAATTTCCACTCTTAGTTAGAATTTCAAAAATGGCTGCAGGAGCTTACTGTCTCATACAGCGCCACAGCTCAACATCAGCATGACGTATAAAGTAGCCGTTGAGTTCCAAATGGAAATTAAAATAATTTGCCGTCGCGGTTTCGGTTCACAGACGACGCAAATTTTGGCGATTTCACGTTGTTGTTTTGCATAGGACGGCTAAGAAATGTACAAAGTTTCAAAACGCACGTGCTGAGCTATTGTTCTGCCAATTGGATCTCTTGTTTTTCCACGTCCTCGTTGCCGTCGCCGTCGTGGTTTCTTAAGGTCCCTATTTTCACCGCTTACTTGCCAGTGTCATTAAACTCATCTCACTCACATTTAAACATTCCTTCAATCTAATGGAGGAAATTTTTTCGAGTTCATATTCGATCGGTTTTGATCGTGTCTCAGACCAAGTCTCTTGAAGGTCAGAGTGCTTTGTGAAATCGCGAGGGAGAGCGTGTTAAATCCTTTGGTTCTTGCTTCATTAAAGGTTAAATGCTTCATAAATTTTCAAAGAAAATATTTAGAGCCTATCCTTTGGCCCTTCCTTGGCTACTTTTATGGGATAAGTAAGAGATTTTACTTGGAAAAAGGCGGAAACGATTCATTTGAAGCAAGAGATTGTAAACAGTTTATAGACTCTTGTTTAAAATGATCACACGAGGAAACTTTGTCAAGGAAAATGAAAGAAAAACGAATCTCTTATTGTTTCATTTTCAATGGAAGGAAATGTTCACGAGGAACCCCCTTACAAAATGAAGGAGATACGAGCCAGACATTTTGAGTTTCATCCCCCCCCCAAGGAGAACAAATCTGGTTAGTAGCTCTTCCATACCTCGACTGCTGAGAGATAACGTTTTTAAAAGACAGAGAATTCGAAGTTCACCTCCTTTGCTACCGTTGCTCTGGCGAGTCACGCAACACTTTGTCCTCTGCACACTCACGAACGCGCGCACGTTCTAGTGTTGCCTAACGAATCCAAATAACAGATTTGAAGGAGATAACAGACTAGTAAATAACAGATTTGAAGGAGATAACAGACTAGTAAATAACAGATTTGAAGGAGATAACAGACTAGTAAAGCATACTTTGAGTTTGGTA